CAGCTGTGCCGATGCATCTCATGCACTGTAGTTTGCCCGCAAATGGTCTATTGGGTGCCCTTGTTTATAACTACTTGGGGTTGTAATTTTTGTTCCCACTCCTCTTTTATCTTCTCTTTGTTTTTTCTGTATTTTTTCTTTGCTTATCTCTGTGGTTGTTTCTTCCCTTTTCTTTGTTTTTTTTCTTTCTTTCATTTCACGCCCCGCCGCGGTGGTTTAGTGTCTAAGGTACTCGGATGCTGAACCGCAGCAGGTCTAAGTAAGGGGGCCCCTTACTTACACTTAGCGATGCACTGCAAAGAGTGCACCTCCCAGCCGAAATTTTCAGACACACAAATCATTGACAGGCACAAGAAGTGGACAACGAGGAAAATAATGGAAGTTCATTGAATTAGAAAACAAGGCGACAGTTGCGTCAGTCAAGCGTCGGTTCTACTAATAGATGTGGAATCCGCTTTTTTGGACGTAAGATAACCCAGCGCATTTTTTTTACGTTTTCTTTCCTTAGTTTCTGGGGGGCTTTACACGTGTTTGTGTCCGGGTGTGTTCCATCGATTATGGGAGTGGTTTTTTTGGTATACCACGTTGTTGATGATGACATTGGGAGGTTCAGAATGACTAACATGCGTGTTATGTATATATTAGTGCTTGCTTCGAAATAAAATTTTCTGCTGCTAGTAAGGGCTCCTCTGTGTCTTCTCTGAGTGCGTGCATTTTAGGGGCGAAGCTCCATATGGCGTGGCTTGTGCGTCCCTCGTAGTACGTAACCACCAGTGGCACATACCCGAAATAGCGGTCCTTACAATGTCTGCTGGATGGGGGCACTTGTATATGATGAATACATGATGAAAAGATGTGAGATGGCTGTGCTTAGTGTTTTCTCTAGACATATGGACGGACGAACGGACTGACACACGCATTGACGGACAGGCAGAGGGGCGCACGGACGTATGGACAGACAGAGGGATGGCCGTAAAAAGAGATGGAATGACAGACAGACCAATGAACAAAGGGACGGATGCACCAAAGATCACACAGATAGGCGGACGCAAGAACGAATGGACAGACAGACTGACGAACGCTGCGCCCCACCAATCATCATTCACTCCGTGGATATGCTGTGATTTTTTTAGCGCTTGTTTCATCATGCACATATACCAACACGTTCAACCGGCAGTCATCCTAATTGCAGTGCTAAACTCGAAAAGAAACGCTAAGAGTAAAAAACAAGAAGGAAAGTCGGGCCATAACTCCTTTTATTGCAGTTTTGCCATGGAACATCACATCCTTCAGGTATTGCCAGCTCAACCCCCCCCCCCCCCCCCCCAAATTAATTGTGTAAGTAAACACCACACATCAACAAGTAGGAGATAAATGAAACGCTTAGTATGAGACCACATTGGCTCTTTTGGTCATGGTTGTTGACGTGCGGCTGTTGAATAAATGTGGCTCAGTTTGGTTTAAGCAGTTGGAGTATTTTGTTCATTTTACTGCGAAAGCTGTATATAGCTAGAAGAAAAAAAAATCACTGCCCAAGCACTTGTACAAATGATTAACCAGCGAAAGCTAAAACGTGGGCCCCGGTGTTTATTACATGGTTCAATCCTACGTAGCACACAAGCATTTCGCAATTATTGGTTATATGTTCATGCTTCTTAATGAGGTTAATCAAGCGTTTGGCTTAGGTTTACCGCAGACATTATTTCCCAAGCCACAGATTGTGCCTCGCCAGATCACGGTCATTGAACACTGTAATGAGCGGGTAAATGCGTTTTGCAACCTGTCAAATATCGTTGTTGTTTTCGAATCACAGGTGGTCGCAGACGTTGCAGCCGAAGGCAATATGCCGCTGGAGAAACTCCCGCCGTAAGCGGGTGGTTACCCCAGTGAACGCGCTCCCGCAATCGTGATGCTGAGCACTTGTTCGGCGTAGGCACTGCGCCATGTCATTTATAGACAGAAAGAAATTAGCTGCCTTTTTTCCTTCTTCCAGAACCACACATTGTTCGGCGCGGCGTTGTTGCAAGCCTTTGACATCGTGATTTACTCGGCGGTGCCGTTTGAAGGATCCACCCGCCACCGGCGCTTGCATTCCCGTTCGCAATAGACGTCAGACTCTGCCCAGGCGGCGCTGCGAAAAACGCTGCCACCAGCGCTCCCGTCGCTGCGCCGGCCATAAGTGGGTAGTGCACAGAGAGCCGTTCACAAGCGAACGTGCATAGGCCCTCCTCTTTTGTTGGTCTTATGGCGTGGTTTCCTGAGAATCGATCACCTGGCAAGATTCTTCCTTCAATCCAAGCTCGCTTCATAAATATAGGAAGCTCATCAAAAAGAAATGCGTGCAAAAAGCAAATTATGTTTAAATTATTTCGGCGTGCTGCACCTGACAATTTAAGTGCAAGAGAGTATTGCATGACGTCGAGTTCAAGGCAAGCACTAAGTGCATACACGAACAATCTATGCGATCAGTGGTACGAAGCTCGCTTTATCAGGTACGAATGACCCTGGTGATTTTCGCTTTACATTTGCATACTCCATCAATTTCTCGCTCGCTGCGCATTGAAGTGTCTTATTACGCATGCTCGAATGCTCTGTTGACGGTTGTCTTCTGTGTACATATGCTGCAAATGGAGATACATACATGTTCACTTTCTCAGTGTACAACGAAAGGCAAAACCGATGCCTCCGAGACAACTCTGCAATGCTGGAGACCAACGAAAAAAAAAAAAAAACGTGTTTGTGGTTGCAATCATTTTCCAATTTACCTGTATGACGCACGTGTTCGCATTTCCAAGGTGAAGCCGTCACTTAGAGCTTTCAAAGCCAGCGTGCGTAATGCTGTGTGGTGGCGATAACTTCAGATTATTGGTGGTCGCAGCGTGTGCAATGTTTATCGCGACCTAGCATCACCTGTCTATGCACCGCGGTCAGAGTGTCTGTCAAGCTTCATAATCAAAGTTACCACGGTTCTCCGTCAAGGCTACTGAGAAAAATAACAGGAGAAAGTTACTCAAGCGAACGGCTGTGGAGAACGCGAGTATTAGCCTACCCAACACGTTCAAAACGGCCTGTATTTAGTGCTCTCGCCATTGTGCGTTGCGGAAGCTGCGGAAATCAGTAAAACTGATTTCAGTAAAACTACGCCCTTGTAAATTCCCAAAGCAACAGTAGCGCAACTGGGGTCTTCTTTCGTGGAGCGCAGAGCTATTGCGTCTGATATTCTTTTCGCCGTCGTTCTGGCGAGTGAACCGACAAGCAACTTACGGCGGTTCGGCGACACGTCCGACTAGCGGGGAGAAACTCATAGCTCTTTTTCCAAGTGTCTCATGTGCAAATAGACCCAATATTTAGCTGAATCGTTGTTTGATACGCTGTAGTTGCACCTTGTTGCACAGCAAACTGTGCAAGGGAGTCGGGCTTTGCACTACTCAAAACTGCGTCGACAGGTGGCGCTGCGTGTCCGCTAGCAGCGAGATAAAATTTGAGAAGCGATTGAGAGAAATGGGGGAGGAGCGTTGAGCTAGGAAGGTATTCAGCTACTTGTACATGAAAAATGTCGATACAAAATAGAGGAAGCGAACCAGAAAATTGACTGGTAAATACTTAGAAAACTGCAGGGGGCCAAACCAAAAAGAATTATCGGTTAAGAAAAAGATGAAGGAAGCTGAGACCGATATGTAGAGAATCGGAATGATTGAGAATTCAGCACTAAAGATCTATCGAACTTTTAAGCAGGAAATCACCAAGGAAAGGATCTATGATAATATCGGGGTAGTTCTCTACTGTTTGAGGCCAGGGCGGGAGTATTGCGAACCAAGACATATCGGGCCAAATACGAAGGGGTAGACATGGTATGCAGTGCGTGTGAAGAGGAAGAGGAAACTGCCGAACACTTGATAATGTTCTGTAAAGGGCCTTCACCCTATAGTTCAGGATGATGGCGAAGAGTTTTTCAAAGCACTAGGGCTTAGGGACAGGGAGGGCAAAATAGACTTTAAGTGGGTAGAATTAACTAGAAGGAGGTTATCTGATTGTTGGCTAAAGTCAAGGCACGAGTGAAAATTAAACCCTTCACTGCAAAGTACGAGTGCTCAATCTTACTATTTAAAAAAAAATAAATCTAGTTTTTGGTTCACTAAGGTTTACGGCTTGGTAGCGTTAGCCACCGCCCGTTCTAAAGGGTACAGCCATATCAATCCATCTATCTATCCAACTCCAGAATCTGACGTCTATTAGGCGCGGCTTGGAAGGCGGCCGGATCATCGGTACACAGTTGCTGCAGACACTCGGCTTCCCGGGCCTCTTTTTGTGCCAGAGGGCTGCACCATCAGCACGGCGAACGCCAGCTCTCTCACGTTTCCACTGAAGGTGCTCTTTTACAGTTGTTAGTAGCGCACCCACATGGAAGGTTTCAGAAAAAACCGATGCATGCGTGCTCAGAGCCACGGCTGCGACTAGATGGACGACGTCACTCACAACGCAGCCAGCGGCGCGCGTGCTTGGGTACGATGCTGCGACTGACGTAATAACTAATGGCACAGCCAATGAAGGGCGCACGTGACACCACTGCCGGACGGTTTCTTGTTTCTGCTTGTGATGTGCAGCTTTCTCTGTGAAACTGTCTGACAACGGTGGCACGAGTGGTGTCCAATGACTGTACTATCAGTTACGTATTTCTCAGCGTCGTACCCAAATACGCGCGCCATTCTCTGCTGTTCAATGAGCACAAAAGGTGAGATAATTGATTATAAGTAATGTTTCACGTCCCAAAGCCACCGTATGATTATGGGATAGTGGAGGGTGCCGGAAGTTTCGACCAACTGGTGTTGTTTGACGTGCACCCAAATCTAAGCAAATGGTCCTGCAGCATTTTCGCATCCATCGAAAGCGCAACCACTGCAGCCGGGATTTGATCCCGCAACCTACTGATCAGCAGCCTTGACCGCTAGACCACCTCGGCAGGGCATAAAAGACAGGATAGCTCCTACAGAATGACTTACCATGAATCACTCCGATTGTTATTTTTACGATATCAATGCTTGTAGCGAAGAAACTGAGCATTGCGCCGATGCTGGACAGGGCTGATCCCGCTATCAGAACTGGTCGCGCTGTGAACCTGTGTGCCAGAGGCCCTCCAACAAGCCCTGCGAATAAACAGGAAGACGTTTTAGCTCAATCACACCAAAACCTGAATTAGGTGAAACCAGATTTTTGTGTATTTCGTGGCCCATATTACAAACAAATTTTCATTCCCTAGCCGTGCTCGCATGGTTGCATGCAGTCCTGAACCTGTATCAACAAAGCAGCAGTAAAACGAAAAGCTATAGAACAAAACTTATTCTTAATTAAATCAGTAAACAAGTGACTTCTTTTGAATTTTAAAGCGCTCAATTATCTCTTCGAGCGGGCGCTCTCTCGTAAGACGTCGAATTGTCGAGCTTCCCTGGTCACAATAACCCTTGTTTCATTTTGACGAGGCTGCACGCTGCGCCAGAGCATGGAAAGACATGCTCGACGGACGGCAGCTCTCTCGATACCAGATAGGATGGCGGTGGTATTATTACCAAAGCGACATTTTAAGATGCCGCGGCGAAAATATACCGGCGTTGATGACAACACGAGTGATGCAAAAAAAAAAACCATCATAACATCATCATGACGTAACAAGTTGCTTGTGTGCGACGTCATCGTAACTGGCGTCTCATGAGACGTCGCAACACGGCATCATCGTTTGGTGAAACGTGGGCGTATCTTACAGGCAGCGTACCGGGGTCCATGCGAAACAGCAATAGGCGCAGAAACCTTTCGGAGGATGGCGGCGCAGGAACAGACGACTAGAACACGGCTTTTGCCTTCCAGTTGTACTGGGTGTGTGAATAAAGGACCCTGTGAGTTTTTTGTTTGTTTTATTGTTGGTGCTATCACTGCTCACATCAAATTCGTTAGTTATTTCACAGTTTACGCAAGAAATCTCACTGATCTACTTTTCGCAACACTAATGCTCGGCCCTGCTCGCACAATCACTTCATTCGTTCTCACCGTTTCTTTACATATGCGAAGCCTGAAAAGCCTTCACGTATACGACCTGCTACCGAAAATGTATCATTCATTCTGCCCTTCTACCGACAGTGCATCCCTTGTTCTATGTCCACGCCGCTATCGTACACTTTTCACGAGCTGAAGCGTGGCCTCACCGCAGATGGCACGCTAAGGTGGTGTAAAGGTGCCACTACGTTACAATTTTATGTTTTAAATGACCGAGAATTGTGCTTTTAGATGTTGAAAACTTCTCGATATAATGAATAAGTGAAGAAAGAAATGGTAAATGTTAGGAGAGCCCGTTTTTTTTTCGGCAAGACCTTTGTGAAAATCAGCAGATAATGAAGTCCAATAAGGCATAGGGAACGTTAAATGATATGTGTGGTTTAACGTCCCAAAACCACATAGTTAATGTTAACTATATGTATTGTTGCAAGTGTATGTACTAGTAGGCATATAGATAGCAAGAGAGGAAAACGGAAAGCTCACTGAGCAACCCGAAAACGCGTGCACGTGCAGCCATACCTTAGAGAGGCACTTTCACGCGCATTTTCTAAGCATGATTTGCGCAGTGAGTCCGTGCCGACCAGAAAGCTCCAGAACCAGCTCGCCCGTGCAAAAGTCAGCGATCGTTCCCATGGGTCGTGTATAAGGTATACAGCACGCTGATTGCCGTCTGGTGTATAGTGGCAAAACAGGAAAGTTCTTCCGACGCCTCAATTGATTGATTGATTTGTGGGGTTTAACGTCCCAAAACCATTATATGATTATGAGAGACGCCGTAGTGGAGGGCTCCGGAAATTTTGACCACCTGGGGTTCTTTAACGTGCGCCCAAATCTGAGCACACGGGCCTACAACATTTCCGCCTCCATCGGAAATGCAGCCGCCGCAGCCGGGAATCGAACCCGCGACCTGCGGGTCAGCAGCCGAGTACCTTAGCCACTAGACCAACGCGGCGGGGCTTGCGACGCCTCAAGAAGCACCAAAGTGACATGACTGTCACACAATAAACGCCACTGCTGAGCATGCTCATAAACAAAATTTCATCAATACTTTGGCCAATGACGCTATTATTACCAAGGAATGAACATATTATCCGGCTGGCTTCTTAAATTTTGAATCATTTAGTCAACGCCAGTTACAAGTGAGAGGTCGACAGGAACTATACCTGTCATTTACGCACGCTCGTTGCGCCACTTACTGGGTACATAATTAGACAGTTTAATTGTGAAGCAGTACACAGAGACAACGTACAAAAAGAACGAAAAGAGCACCACTGCATTCGCAAATAGTTTATTTCGCAAAAGTATGGTTAATATACAACATGAGAGCGTAGCACGTGTGACAATGACGTTCAAGTTACTACATCTGTCGGTGATTTTCGAAAAATGACAATTCGCAATCAGTTACACTAATCGATGTTCGGCTGATGCAATCATCTTTTCTTTTGTGATAAGGAGAGCTTTGGCAACTTCTCTGGTCAGCTAATCCCTGTGACTGGAAGATATTTTAGCCTCAAGGGACAGCGAGGCGTAGCCACATTCTAAACAATGCTGTCTAATGGGAGAGTAAGCCTTAGTTGTTAACAATATATTGCGGCCTAAAAGCCTTGTCTTCACGCACCGGCCAGTTTTGCTGATGTACATCGTTTCACATGACATGGACACACCATAAATCAGCGCAGTTCAGCATTCAAATTCTGGTAATTGCAATTCTTTGAGCATTGGTGTTTAAGACTTGCGTTATATCAATACACATGGTTCTTTATTGTCAGCTGTAAGGCAGTGAATTACTGAAAATAATGATAAAATAGAATTTGTGAACAAATGTGGAGTATCAGTAGAAGTGTTAAATTAAATATTTTGCTTCCTGGCTGATTGCCAGCGACGATTGCAATCCGCGTTATTACGGAACTATTGACTAAATGGAAACAGAATATGAGCCAACAGTCGCTATAACCAGGCAGGTGAGCATTATTCACCAAACAAATTAGTTCTACTCTTACCAGACAGGCAGAGGAGGGCACTGAGGAGCATGATGGGCCATGACGCCTCCCGCCTGTTTACTTGGAACGTGTCCAGGAAAGCCACGAGCAGAAATCCGGATGAACGCCTCCCAGCCAGAGCACAAAAGCATGCCATGGCGCAGCAGCCTGCGTTGAGGGAACCACGTTTGTTCAAAGGAGTGAATTGTGACTTGATTTGCATTCACATATGTTGACATAATTCACCTGAGAAGCTGTTGAGCAACATGGATAAAGAATCGCATAATGATTACTGTGTACATTTCACGGTACATTGCATTTTACCGGTTACGTAAGCACATGGGATCGGTTTCATGGGCAAGTGAAGTTCGCTTCCTTTGCTTCCACTGGTGTACCTTCGAAGTAGCGTAAAAAGAGAGATAAATGAATGAAATACACAGACAGGACCCGAACACACAACCTTCCTTCTTTGTTTACTGGTAGGCCCGTGTGCTCAGATTTTGGTGCGCGTTAAAGAACCCCAGGTGGTCGAAATTTCTGGAGCCCTCCACTATGGCGTCTCTCATAACCAAATGGTGGTTTTGGGACGTTAAACCCCACAAATAAATTAATCAAATATTTGTTTACGTTTTATTGCGCAGGTTCGAAATCGTATTTCAGTTCACGTCTTATCGCGCTGATCAATGCTAGTATGCGTTCTTAGCTTGTGAAAGAAAGGATGTTTACGTTCGCTTATGCTACCTTTGAGCAACGATAGTGAATGAATACAAAAATCTTCCCGATCTGAACCCGCTAAATATGTGGGGTTTAATATCCGAAAGCCACAATATGATTGTGAGAGAAGCCGTAGTGAAGGGCTCCGGAAATTTTGACCACCTGGGGTTCTTTAACTTGCACCTTAATCTGAGCACACGGGCCTACAGCATTTCCGCCTCCATCGGAAATGCAGCCGCCGCAGCCGCGATTTGATCCCGCGACTTGCTGGTGCGCTTAAGTGGTGCTTTTGCAAGAGAAACTTATGTGTAATGTCTAATTCATCGTTTCTCAAAGTGCTTTCCTTACCTGCAACGAGCCAGCTGTGGACACTGTCGGGACCATGCCGTGGAAGTTGGCCCCAGCAGTTCCATCGTCGTAGTAACCTGCTTGCGGGTTTTGAAGGCCACGGCTTCTCAACCTGCAGCGCAATATAATATATAATAGCAAAAATTACATTATTTAACGATAAAGATCAAATTCTGTCCTTTGCTCGCAATCTAAAAGGTTCCACATTTTACATAAGAGAAGATTTTTCGCCAGAAACTCGGCGCATTGCTTCCAAGATATACATCTATGACTGTGCAAGGAGCGCAGTTATCGAATCTGTCAGATAGCTACAGCGTTGCGCGCGCATGCATAATAAACGATCAAAGCATGCTTATACCTCATTATCACTGTCAATCGCAAACACACACAGCATTATGTCAAAGTAGGATTTTATCTCTGCATTTCCGGATGACAGTAGCTTTGATATTGTCGCCTTCACGGAAACTTTGCCAAATCCTGCTATCAGTGATAATGAAATCTTCACCTCAGCTAGCAGGTATCATATCTACAGATGTCACTAGTAAAAGAGGAGGTGGGGTTTTGTTGGGCATAAAAAAACCTTGATTGATTGATATGTGGAGCTTAGCGTCCCAAAACCACTATATGATTATGAGAGACGCCGTAGTGGAGGGCTCCGGAAATTTCGACCAAGTGGTGTCCTTTAACGTGCACTCGAATCTGAACACAATGACTTGCAAAACTTCCACCTCCATCGGAAATGCAGCCGCCGCAGCCGGAATGCGATCCCGCGACGTGCGGGTCAGCAGCCGAGCACCTTAGCCACAAGACCACCGCGGCGGGGCATAAGAAAAACCCTGACTCCATTTTTCGCGAACACTAATCCTGACCTTGAAATAGTTTGGGTAACATGTACTGTCCCTTCCTTCAAAAATACTGCTAGGTTGCTGCCATCGAGCGCCGGACTTCGTCTCTTCCTTCAATAATATGCTACATGACAGTACCAAAAGGCATCTGATAGTTTTAAAGCCGACACAATTTCGCTATTCGGCGACATTAACTTTCTGCTCATTGGCTTAGCCACGTTGTCATCACCCTGTCACTCGTGAAATGATTTTCTTAACTCGAGATTTCAACTTCTTTTAAACTGTTCTGAAGCCTACACATGATGGGAACATTCTAGATCTTATCTTCACTACTGCTCCAGACCGGATACGTAAAATGAATTACTTGGACGGATTCAGTGACCTTAAGTTACTCAAAGGACATAGAAACTTGTCCCGTTCTGTAGCTGGTGTACATATAAAACAAACTTGGGACTATAATCATAGCAACTATCAAGAGTATAATTGTCAACTAGCCTTCTTTTCTGAAAATACTGTCCTACAACGTTTCCACAACAGATATGTCGTAGACATATCTGTTGTGGAAACGGCAAATTTTCTGTACGTACGTTAGTTGAGAAATATATACCACTGGTTGAAATTAGCAATGATAAATCAAATCCGCGTTCAACAAAAATCACCAGAAAATGCGGAATAAGAAAAGAGCACTTCAAAAGGGAGGTTTGGGCGTGTTGGTTATTTATAGTTCTTCATAAACCAGAGCGCCCAAAACACGGGACAGAAAGAGAAAAAGTTGCTATATAATAATACAAAGCGGTTGGAAAGTTGCTCTTTTTGGCCCGAATATAAAACCTGCATGAAAGCATTTTGCACTGCTTTAGGCATTGCTAAGGCGAAGTAGTATACTATGTATCTACCGACACTACTAAAAAAGAACCGAGCTAAATTTTCTAAAGTCATAATTCCACCAGTGAAAACCAAGACATCTCATTGCACGATTGTAACAACATCCCTCTTCCAGCTTGCCTTTGTTCAACAGCACCTAATTCTTTTTGAACTCCTAGCTTCACGAAAGAGAACAATACCAACGTACCCTACGTAGCCGAGCTTGACTACGCATTCATGGAACCAATAGACATTCAGCTACACGGCATAGTTATAGCCATAAAGAATCTTAAGTTATCTTCGTCATGCGGTGTAGACGGAATCAATTAAAAGGTGCTAAAATCTATAGTAATGGTCTGAAGTGAAATTTTTTATATATTCCAACAGTCTCTCAAAGCTCGCACAATACCATTTGACTGGAAGTTGGCGAAATTAAAATAATATTTAAAAGTGAAAATAAAATGTCGGGCAAAATTACCGTCCTATTTCACTTACATGCATTTGTTGTAAAATGCTAGAACATATTATCGCCTCGCATCTTTACAGACATCTGGAATCCAATATATAGTTTCTTTTTCAAAAATTAACATGGTTTCCGAAAGGAATTTTCGTGTGAGACTCAGCCGTTTGAATTAACCACAGATGTTCATGCTAATATAAACAGTAATTATCAAACAGACTGCGTGTTTCTGAACTTTTCGAAAGCTTTTGACCGGGTTGCACACTGACGCCAAATGTCGAAACTATCCGCCTTGGAATTAGACTCCCCTACACTATCAATGCTTCGCAATTTACTATCTAATCGTCAGCAGTACACAACAGTCAACAATTTTACTTCTTCCTTAACTGATGTTTCTTCAGGTGTACAACGAGGCAGCGTGCTCGCTCTGTTACTTTTCCTCATATTAATAAATTATCTCCCGCAACATGTCTCTTCTTGCATCAGGGTGAATTAGTTACCTGACGAGTGAATGAGTTACCGTCCAATCAAGAACTTTAAATATTTCCTGTCGCCCCAAAATGACCTCGACGTGACAAAGGTTAATGTAGTACATGGCTGATGACTCTAAATGTCTCATAATGCAAAGTGATGTCTTTGACAAGTAGATCTAGCAGATCGAAATTTCCATACCGCATAATCATACCATTCTCTCGACTGCAACGCAATATTGATATTTGGGTGTTATACTCACACCTACTTTATCGTGGTTCGACCACATCAAAGCCATCTCTGCTAACGCTTTCAGATCACTAGGTTTCTTGAGACGTAACTTGAAAGTCGCACCTTCAAGAAATCGCAAATCATTTTACATGACTCTGGTTCGCCTGGTGAACCTTATAATAAAATATTCTTAGAATATGCTTGTTCGTTTTGATCTCCTTATCAAAAATACCTAATTGATACATTGGAAGAAATCCAGAATAGGGCAAGCCGCTTCATCGCCAATGACTACAGTCCCCATTCCAGTATATCACATAATGCCGCAAACCAAGAAAGAAGACGATGTGGGCGCCAACAGCCTCGTGAAAAGGGGGACTGAAGAAGACGACGTGCTTTTGTTTTGCTCGCCTGCTTTTGGCTCCTGTATAAAAACACACGCCGTTGGTTCTCAGACTCAAAGTCTCGGTGCACTGCTTACGTTGAACCGCGACACTGGTGGAGGTGCTGGGCTGCAAGCCTGCCGTTGCTCAACACCCCATCTGGGAGCCGTTCATCAAGTCCCGACACGCAGCCACCTGTTACGACACCAGTGCTCCGCTTCAGTCGGCGGTCCCTAGGCCTATCTCCTGAGCTGACCTCCTTCGACGAACATTCTACCAGGCATTACGTACCTCTACCAATGGCCTCCGCTAGCCAGCCACAGTTGGTCCAAGGGATACAAGGAAGCCCCGTTTCCGATACAGCCCAGGTAACACTTCTTCAGCCGCTTGTGCCTTATCGCTTCAGTGGCGCCCCACACGAAGATGTTGAAGATTGGCTTGAGCATTACGAACGCGTTGCCGACATCAACCAGTGGAATGCTCAACAGAAGCTCGCCCGCACGTATTTCGCTCTCGATGACGGCGCTCGCACGTGGCTTGAGAATCGAGAAGGCCGTATATCCACACGGGATGACTTTCGCCAGCAGCTGATTGACACCTTTGCTAGCGTCGACCGTCGAGAGCGGGCTCAGCAGTTGCTCGAGTTAAGGCTTCAAAAACCTAACGAAACTTTGGCAATGTTTGCTGAAGGCATGACGCGCCTCTGCCGTCGGGCTGATCCCAACATGTCCGAGGAAAAGAAGTTGCGCTACCTTATGCGCGGCGTGAAAGAACAACTGTTCGCTGGACTTGTGCGCAATGCCCCAACTACCGTGGCCGATTTTATCAGAGAAGCAACTGCCATTGAGCGTGCTCTGCACCAAAGATCGAGGCAAAATGATCGCTCGTCCACTGCCACCTCAATCAACGCCGCTTCAGTGACTCTGGACAATCACGGTTCCCTACGTGACCTTATCAAAGATATTGTTCGCGAAGAAATTCAGAAGCTTTGGACTCCTCCAGTGGATACACCAGTGACCGCCGTTGCCGCAGTCAGTTCGTGACGAACTTAGGCACGCTTTTTCAGCAGCTGATCTCGGTCGCGATCAGCGTCAACTGAGTTACGCCGACGCTGTCCGCCGACCACCACCCGTCCAGCCTATTACATCATACTACCAGCCACCTACAGCCGCACCTTCGTCGCAACCATTGCAGGAGGCTGTCAGACGTCAGCCCATGTCTCCGATGTCTCCATGACACCAGCCACCACTTGCCGCGCCTTACTCAACACCCCGAGAGGACATAAGACGCCCACAATTTTGCAGAACGGACGCTTGGCGCACCGTCGATCGGCGCCCTCTCTGCTTCAACTGTGGTGGTGTCGGCCATATAGCTCGCTATTGTTGGTACCGCGACACATCGCTTCGCCCGTCTCGGCCAGGGTACGACGGTCGCCGTGCCAATGACGACTACATTGTTCGCCATGACGACCCTGGTTTTCGAGGACCTTCAACAACGTGGTCTCCCTATCACGAGTCGTTTCCTAATCGCCAGCCCAATTCCGCCCACAGGTCACGCTCTCCATCCCCTGCCCAGACATCGTCACCGAATCGACGTACTTTTGCTGACCTTCAGGGAACAAGGTCGCCCAGCCCTTACCGGGGAAACTAAAGGCGGCGACCTCTCGGGGTAAGGTCGCAGCCCGACCACAAGACGATAAAAAGTCCCCAGTACTGCCGCTACAGAACGACTTGACGCCGACGAATATTAACAACGATGAAATGGTGAGCGCCGACCTCAATGTAATTATTGACGGAGAGGCAAGTGACGGCCTTAGTCGATACGGGTACTGATTTTTCTATAATAAGTCGCAAACTGGCTG